AACATTTCTGACCCCAACACAATGTTCAATATCTTCTGTACTTCTTGTACTTTTTGTATTAACAGAAACTGAGAGCATTTAACATGATTTATGATTTATTTTGTGATTCCAGAAGTTTCAGGAACCGTTCTTAATTAAAAACAACAGTTATTGAGGGGTTAAAAAAAAGAAATGTGATTGCCGTTTTTTTAGCATTTTAGTTTAGGGTTAGAATTAGAGTTTGATTTACTCAGTTAAATACTTAAATCCTCCTAGTTGAGAATCACTGATGCTCTAACACTGAAGCTACTCTCACCGGCCACCAGGTGGCGCCGCAAACCAATTTATTTGAAGCGAGAGGCGTGTGTCTAGGTTGCTCGTGTGTTATTTATAGACTGTCAGGTGTGATCGAGGCCAACACAGAGACTAAACAACTAAACGTTCACTCAGTGTGTGCTAAAGCCGCATCCTCACACAGACAGGTGTGTATGAAACTGCTGAATGTAGAAGTCCAGAATCACAAACCACAGCCCTGACCGTGTGCCTGATAAACATGCACGACTCTGATTACAGTAAAACCCATGTCTCCTGAATCAAACGCACCTGATTCCACTCATCAGCGCATTAGTAGAGACTCGGGCTACGTTCACACCGCTCAATTCCACTCGTTTTTGCTCAGATCCGATTTGTTTGCATAGGTGTTCACATTGTTGTTTTAAATGTGGCCAATATCAGATGTCCAGTGTGAACGGATCATGGTTCTGAACTGACCCGTAGGGCTGCACGATTTGGGGAAAAAAATCGAATTGCGATTTTGCTGGTTAAAATTGCGATTTACGATTTAAATGCGATTTTTAAAACAAATTAACAAAAAAAATAACAATATAAAAATTTGATTAAAAATGAATGATAAGATAATAACAATACTAATTTTATTTTACAGAAAACTGCAGGGTTACTTGTTAACATGCAGGCCTATAACTGTACATCATATGATACTGTTATGATAAAAATATTTTTATCAGGAGGTATGTAAAATCAAAAATGGAGTCCATGTCTTTAATATGAAATATGAGCCTTTTATACATCCACTGTGGGGAAAGAAAAAAGAAAGAAGGAAAAAAACTCCTGTACACTTCTATACACTGGATAAAAACATGGATTATCGTATGTTTACTTCAAATTTCTTTAGAGAGAAGTATTATTTTCCCTATTTATGGCCAAAATAGGACACATTAAACTCATGTGCTAAACTCATGTTATGTCTGTTTCATTCATACTGGACACCGGAGGGCGCCCTCACGCAGAAACTCCACATATACCTCACAGAAGTAATAGAACTCAAGACGTTCCAGGAAATCCCTAATATGGACAAACATTGATATGTATACATATCTATGTGAACAAAGGTATCAAGCTATCGCTGTGACTGAATTAAAAGAAGATATAAACGTATGAACTGATTGAACATGAAGACAATAAACCTACGACAATATGTGGTTTAACTGTGTTCTTCACGCCATCTCGGGTCGACCAATTGCTTCTCAAAACTAGTCCCAAACTAGCTAAATCGCGTTCTGAGGATTATATATCACGTTAGTGGGGTCGCTTTAACCCACGGAGTTGAAAAACAACCTGCGGCAACAGTGGAAAAAGTAGCCCGATTATGCAGGAAAACTGTGGACTTGGCAACACTTACACAATAAACACGGAGGACATAAAGTAAGCGATTATGTGTTTATTTATAGCGTGATCTGCCGCAGAAGCCAGCGATATTATACACAGGCAATATGAAAAATAAAGACAAAGATGTGACAGAAGAGAGCAGAGTTTTGAAACTTTTATGATACGAGCCCTCATGTTGTGTTTGCATATATAGAGTAGAGTTCTGACACATCACTACCCGCTACAAACCCCGCTGGCTCGCTGTGCAGGAATCAAGACCGCTTCAGTGTTTTCGAGTTCTCTGACCTTTCATCCGGCCATTCGGTTTTCTCAGCCTCTTCCTCTCGTAGACACATTCCCACACACACAGCAGCATAAACACACACACACACACACCTCTGAACAAAGCTTCTATTTTCCCGAGGAAGGGTCAGCAGGTCCTCCATCAGACAGACGCTTGTTCTTGGTCGGCGGCTCTCCAGCATTAGCACCCCAGAGACAAGCTGCCCATTGTTCCCGCAGCGCTAACAAATGACAGACCAACTCTAAAGCCACGCTGAACACACACGGAGAGCATACGGCTTGGTGCCGTGCGCTGGACATCACTCACACATACAGCATAAAGCTCTTAGAAAGCACATGGAAGCAGAGTGCTGCTAATTATTTGATCTTTCTGAGATCCCTCACTGAGCTGCGATCAGGTTCTTGTGTAAAACTGTGGAGATGCACAACACAGAGGCCCGAAAACACACTCCAGCCATCTGTGTTACGTTCCCACCGCTGCCACGCTACGAATTACATACTGTCATGCTGAATACTGCTGATCTAGCTAATTAAACTTTCAACATATATGTGACCCTGGAGCACAAAAGAAGTCGCTGGGGTATATTTGTAGCAATAGCCAACAATACATTGTATGGGTCAAAATTATAAATTTTTCTTTTATGCCAAAAATCATTAGGATATTAAGTAAAGATCATGTTCCATGAAGATATTTTGTAAGTTTCCTACTGTAAATATATGTATCTCGACCAAATATTGTCCGATCCTAACAAACCATACATCAATGGAAAGCTTATTTATTCATTTATATGTATAAATCTAAATTTAAAAAAATTGACCCTTATGACTGGTTTTGTGCTCCAGGGTCACATATATTAGAGCTGTTAAGCGATAACATTTTTGATGAATTAATTGCACATTAAATTTAGCTGAGAAATTTCCCCCAAAAGATCATTTAAAGCCATTATTGTGTTAAATGAGAAAAGCATTAAATAGGCATTACAAAACGTAGATTTAGAAGAAATATTTTATTTGATTCAACACAGAATTTTTTTATGGAAATATGATTTTTGTAATCAAATGATTCTCGAAATAAGAAACTAAAAATGCTAGAGGTGCGACGATAAATTGATTAGATTTTCGGAATGCATCGTGATTCTCTCTGGAATAGATTCTGAGCTCAGTTTTTAACAGCAGATGGCGCTCTACTCTAGTTTTTAACCTCACACTCAAATGCTCACGAAGAAGAGCGCTTGTGCGTTCGGCTCAGTAATGTAAGTGGTTAAATGTACTTGCACCTCGGCTTTTATGATGCAAGATTAATGTAAACAGCCCACTGTGAACATCCTTGTAATTCGCTTCAACCTTTTCGAACTTTATGAATGATTATTTTAGGTTCAAATGGTGCTTGTGTAAGGAACTGGAAGCAAACAGAATTCTGCTATTTCTGAAACACACAGCGCCATCTGCTGTTAAAAACTAAGCTCAGAATCGATTCAAGAGAGAATCGCGATGCATTCGCGAAAATGCGGGAATTGATTTATCGTCGCACCCCTAAAAACTGCCATTAGGTGGCAGTAAAAGTCATTCATGCAATAATGCTAAAGTCATTCGTTCAAACAGCTGATTCATTCAGAAATGAAGTAAACGGCTCTCTGAGTGAATGGGCCATTGGATCATTGGTTCACCTGATTCGTTCAAGACAGCTTTAAATAACTAATTAAAATAATATAGCCTATATAATATATATATATATATATATATATATATGCAATTTGCTGCCTTAATAACACCTGGTTTAATGGCACACACATTGGAAAGTAAGTGTGGTAATTTTAGTGGAGCATTAGAGTTTATGGATCTCCTGACAAATGCAGATTGCCGGCGCACACACACACACACACACACACACACACACACACAGATTGCAGTCCTGTCTGACCGCACATGTACGTTTCTCTTGTGGTTTACCACAGATGTGTTAGATGATAGCGCAGTAAACACCTGCAGCGCTACTGGCGCACAAGCACACCTCCACCCTGTGTTTACCACAAGAACACAGCCAGATATTCAACACCGGGGCCGACCGCTGAAATGAGCTCAAACCCAACTCTTCCTGGCTGACTTTTAGCAAGAGCAGTTCGTGTGCGAGAAGAGTCGCGTGCTTCTGAAAGACACGAACACACGCTCCTCGTTTAAGATAACAGGATGAGGAAGAGGAGTGAAGGGAAGACCCTGGGGGTTAGTCAAGGGCCCCCCGGGTGACACAAAGTGTTTCTTTGTCCTTCTCAGGACAGGACAGAGCGGCACTCCGGTGCACCGGGGGCTCCGACCAACTTTACTGACACTTCAGCCTCTTTTGTGCAGGGAGCGTCCCGCCGTCAGTGCTGGCCCTGAGAGTCGAGGGTCCCTCTCCAGAGGAGAAAGGAGGTCTTGTTTGTGAAGGAGGTGTTTGAGAGAGGGGGACGCTGGGGGGACTCAACAATAGAGGCAATTCTGCTCGGGACCAAGAGCTGCTTTAAAACACGTCCACTATCTAAACACACACACACACACACCTCAGAAAAACATGCTTCAGGGTCACATACTCAACCAGAAACCACTCTCTGTCAGCCGAGATCAAACGAATAACATGTGTTTCAATATGAGCTGATTACTACCTTCAGCATCAGCAGGATATAATGTGCTTGAAACACTGTGCTCTTTTAAAACCAGTTTAACAGAGAGATATCAAGATATCGAAATCAATAATATTAGGACTGAATGTGAATGACCGGCAAACAGGTGAAGTGCACACCTATGACGACGACTTCAACAGATCACATACATCTAAATGTGAATATAATATTTATATATAATATAAATTATATTTGAATTTATACAGGTAAATACATTTAAAATATATGCATGTATGTTTGTGTATTTATATACACCATAAATATACACAGTACACACACACATATATATTATGTAAACAAATACTTTTATTTTGGATTTTTATTTTTTATTTTGACAGCACTAGAATATATATATATATATATATATATATATAGTGTATATAAGTGTATACTCACGTTTGTCGTTACTGAAGAAAGCTGTAACGAAGTAACGTTACCTCCGCTGTCACTGCGACGTTACATGAGAATCCAGTGCGTGCGAAGTAACGTTACCGGAGCATTTGTTTCTGTTCCTGTCAGTCCTTCACTCTGGAAAGTGCGCTTATTCCACAGGTTGCTGAGCTCCTCTGCTCGGTGTCCTGCTCTCATTCTCCGAGCACACGCTTTGCAGAGGCATCAGCAGCACATCCTCACACAGACCGCTCTGACTGAGATGAGCGAGCGCCGGCGGACTACAAACATCACATGACACCCACCGCCGCACTGCACTGTGGGAAGTGTAGTCAGTTCAGCTGCACGGGCCCTTTAACTGCTGACTAATTCGACAGAACGCACTTATTCGTGTTTTACCTTGTACTTTTAAAAATTGCTGCATGAAATCACATCTGTAATTATTTTTCTGTTATTACATCTATAATGACTCCGAACCAGATCGACAAACCTTATGCACCTCAATAGTAGCAAAAGTGTTTTGCAATACAGTAAGTACCAAAAAAGTATTATTATTAATCCTGATTACCTTTTATCTCTCTTAATGGTGAATCTTATTTCATTTGAACTCATTCATTTTCAGTTTTTACTTCTTACTTTTATTGTATCTGTTTATTTTTATATCTTAAGAAACTTTATGATGACTGTTTTTCTTTTTCTGTAAAGCACTTTGCTTACGAAAATTAACCATGGTTTTATTGTAGCAAAAGTGTAGTAACCATGTTTTTTTGGCGTACTGATTACCATTTGTATAACCACAGTTTTACTACAAATACCATGGTTAAACTATGGTTAGTGCAGCAAAACCATGGTTAATTTGTGGTTATACCATGGTTTAACTATAGTAACCATGGTTTTTTGGTTTTGTTTGTGGTAAAACCATGGTTAATTTGTGGTTATACCATGGTTTAACTATAGTAACCATGGTTTTTTGGTTTTGTTTGTGGTAAAACCATGGTTAATTTGTGGTTATACCATGGTTTAACTATAGTAACCATGTTTTTTTTTTTGTTTGTTTGTGGTAAAACCATGGTTAATTTTCGTAAGGGTTTGAATTACCTCTGTATATGAAATGTGCTATATAAATAAACTCGCTTTGCCTTATTATTATTATTATTGAGGTAAGTATATATAAAGTGGCAGATGTATTTGTTTAGTAGAGCTTAATTACCAGCAAACATGCATCCAAACCGCTTCTGAGCATGAATGCTTCATGAGTTGGGCATTTGTTATTATGTGCCATTTGCACAATTATTCACTGCCAATATTCACTCAGTGCTTTAGACTGTATTGTGTGTTTCATTGTGTTCGATGCGGCAGCAGTTCACCAAAATGAAAACCTGGCGAGTGCAGCACAGGTGTGAACAGGCATCTGTTTGAGCATCTTCTGGGATGCATGTGTTGTGTTTGGCGTGTGTGTTAATGACAGCATCGCGTGTGAGCAGCCGAGCGTGAGTCAGATAAGATCTGCTGTCGTCACACCACACAAAAGCGTGAATCATGGTTTCGTTCATGTTCTTCCGTCAGCTCCAGACATGCTTTCATTCCCCACCTCTACACTCAACTGCTAAACTGAGGAGCGGATTTGGGAATAAGGATCAGTCAGTTGTGCAAATCACTACTATTAACAGTGCCTACTTAAAAATAAGTGATACTGAAGATGTGCATTGACATGACAACTTCTCTTAAAATAAGCCAGTTATCAGACAATGCTAGTAACCCCAAAACGTGAATTATTAAATGCAATATATCAGTCCATCACTAGTTTGATCCACAAACACTTGCATGCACAAGACACGTAAGCTGAGAAGATGTCCCCATAATTGCAATGTCAGTTGCGTTGGATAAAGGCTAAATAACTAGTAGTGGTGCAGTGGAGCCCGTTCAAAGTGACTTCGCCCCCCGATCCGCTACTCTGTGCTGTAATAGCAGCAGCTTTTCTGGCAGGAGTCCAGCTCAAGCAGCGGCACCTGAGCCGAGCTCAGAGGAGCTGCTGCAGGTTTGCGTGACTAGAGCCCTGAACCAAAACACAAAGACATTGTGTTCAGTCAAACTCGACGGCATTCCTGTCTCGCATTCCTGAGTCACCGGCGCTCTGAAGTGGCTCTTTTTTTCCTTCTGCTCTTCTGTGAAGGAGAGCGATGCACATGCCATTCAGCAGCCCTGAAACCTGCAGCGCTCACAATAAACAGGAGAACAAATTCAGACATAATTATCACTGAATGCATAGATTGCATTAATAATAGGACTATCATAGTGTTTCATGTCACTGTTAGAGGCTGTTAACAGATTATTTATCACCCACTTACTGTTTCAACACAGTTTAATTTGGACATTTTCACATTCATTTTGCCTCTGTCACAACTTTTTCGGAACGTGTTGCAGCCATCAACATCCAAATTTGTTTGTATTTACAAAATATATTGGAAATCTTTTCTTTTTTCATTTTAATGCTTTTCAAGTTAAAGAGCATTAACCAATCACAGACACTTGATTTTATGGCACTGTACAAAACGTCCCAACTTTTCTGGAATTGGGGTTGTAAGGCACAGGTGAAGTATAACATGTTTTATACTTATCCAGCCAACAAATGTGCCCAGCAATGCCCAAGCCTCGTTTTGTCTCAAAACCGGGCCTGTCGAGGGCACCTTTACTGGGGTGCGTTTCCCCAAAGCAACTATGGTCGCAAGCTCCATCCTTACCAATAGAGTTCAATGGAACCTGCCACCATAGTTAGCTAACGATGCTTTTGGGAAACGCAGCCCTGATCAGCAGGACCATAAGTAAGGTCCTGGACATGAAATACTTTTTGGAAGTTGACATACTTTGAGTGTGACATATGCATTTGCATTTACTAATTCTTTTATAATTAATATGCACCCATCTTTAATGAACTCACATTTACTGAGGGAATATGTGTACTTTCAGCAGCAGCACCTAAAGATGCACAATAACTTACATCTTAACCTAACATCATGCTATTGCCTTTTTAAGAAGTCAATGATGTAATGCCAGCTATCCACTGTCTTCTGCACTATATAGCGATCAGAAGGAGGATGCTATGATTTACTGTGCTTTGCACAATGACAGTAAAGTCTAATCTATAAAATTCTAATTTAATTGAATTTAGTCTACATGTATGAACCTCAACCCTTAGCACAAACTTTCCTTATTTCGGCTCTATAACAAGCCTGTATCACTGGAAAGTCCATCAGTGGGTACTAATCAGACTCTTGTATATTTACAGGGTTGTGAAGCGTGTTTGCTACTACAGTCCAGGAGAGAATTACACTAAACATGTGCATTCTTCCCAAAGATGAGCCAGGATTTTCCCTCATTTTTCTTGAACTCATCTGGCATTCATTTTCTAAACATCAGCCAGAAAATGTGTGTTGGCAGGTGACGTGTAACAGCTTCATGAGCTGTTAAAGCTCTTGTGAAAAAGAAGTGTTGTATTGAATGCGCACTTGTACTTCAAAACTTATTTACTTACGTAAATAAAAAAACAACAACTGTACTTTCAGATAATATAATAGGAATCAAATAAAAGGCCACTTAAGTGTACTTAAATAGAGCCACTTTCATGACTGTTTCTTAACACACTTGAGTAGACTTTAAAAAGTGCAGTTTGTAATAATGTCAAATTAAAAGTTTTAAAACACAATTTAAATCATTGTCATGATTTAAATAGGTGCACTTATTTAGATGTGTTGACTAGTGCATCTACACACTAAAGCACATGTGCAGTACTTGACTATAATTTTAACTGTAGTGTGTTATTTGAGATTATACATATTTTCAGTTTACTGAAATACAACTTCATCATTATAAACATGTAATTGCAATACATTTAAATAAGTGTCATACAAGTTTCAGAGGAAATGACAAAGTATATTTTAGTTTATCATAAATGCTTGTCAGTACATTCGGCAGTGCACCGTAAGACTGTAAGTGATTGTGAAATTACACATAAAGGTGTACTTTAGTCCTACTTAAGTAGGTCAAAATGCACTCTAAAGTGAATCTAATAGCATTTAATATAAATGTAAACTACAATAAATTTTCATTTGAAAATTAAAGCATGCAATTAAAGTGTCTGAAAACATTACATTCAGTTCACACTTAAGTAAAGTCTTTTAAAGTCTATTATTTTCATAATAAGTACTTTTACTGTACTTTTTCACAAGAGAGCAAAGATACAAGAGTTCAGATCTTTAGTTAGGCAGCACATGAATAGAATGCAATGGCTCAGTCGTTCACAGTGTATTAGTCACATCTAATCACCATACAGCCAAGCGATCCATGAGTTTGAGGTACAGCAGTGCAAGCAGAGAGATTAGAAAGCACAGTGTATATTATGCAATTTTCCTATATGTAGCATAACTTTTATACAAGCTGTCAAAACACAAAAACATAACCTTATTACTAAGGTTTTCATCTTCTATCCTAGGGTGAAGTCAATATGTACATTAGCAATGACCTGAGACAAATACCGTTTAACGTAATTAAATGGAAGTCTAAAGGAGTGGCGTGGCATAATGTTGAGCAGCGTTAGCTATGTGGGCGTACACTCATAGAAAACAATGTGTTTGAATCATCCATGCATCAGATAAGTCCAGTGTGTTTTGAAACACAGCTCATGCCGTGAAGAAATAATTTACCCAGAACCCACACGGCCCAGACTGGGATGCTCAGACAAACAATGGTTGTGTCTATATTACTAACTGGGTATATAAAGTTTCATGCACACACATTTGTGTAAAAATGCACCATGCCAGGACCAGCTGGGACATAAGAAGGATGTTCATCGTGCTTGAGGCCACTGATAAGCCTACTACTGGCTAAACCTCAACTCTACCTTCATGCTTTCCAACCTGCTGAGCAGGCTACAACTCTTTCTTCCCATCTAATGCCGGTGTGACGTACCACAAACAATATCACACCATCTACATCCATTTAGACCGGAGGAGATCTGATGGAGTTTGGATTCCTTGTCACCGTTTGGCTTGTTTAGTTGGGGACTAAAAGACACTTAACATTCAGTAATATATCAATATAAATGCACTGACTGACACCATCGAATGAGAACAAAACTTGAACTGAATTATTATTCTTTTGTAGAGCTGCTTTAC